CGCGCATCCGGCTTCTGAGGTTGTTTTGCTTTGTGGGTTTTAGGGTTTTAGTGGCGGTTCCAGGTAACATTCGGTTTTAGTGGGTTTTAGGGTTCAGTGATTCGGACCCCCCCTTTGTTTGAGCATTGAAAGAACATCGCAGCATTTGTTTGGGGACCACCATTCCATGGTTGTTGTTGAAAAACATTTTACATTTTTGCTTATTGTGGTTTAGTGGGAAATCCCCACTGAACTGCTAACATTTAATTTTTGCCCCCCTTCCCAACACTCCCATATGACTACACAGGGGTTGGTTAATCTGGGGCCAACATGAACCCGCTCACAGTTAAGCTTTTAGCAATCCGGACAGCAATGGAGGCTAATGGAGGCCATCTTCCTCCCATACTCCTCTTATTCCCTTTTTGGGGTTGCACCGTACCCAGTGCTTTTGATTGCCACTGTGGATATCTTGCCCGCTGAAACCATGGCAAAACCTGGAGGTGAAAATACCGAAGGGTTGCCCACTTTAGTGGGGAAACACCTTTGTAGCTCTGTAATTAAAAAAACTGTTCAACTTGTTGTGTGTGCAATCCGCTCGATCGGAAGAGAGTCCCGGGTAGCAGGACATGCATATCTGGTACAATGCGGCAGGGGCCCCGGGTGAAGTGCCAGTCATGCATTTGGCTGGGCTTTTGAAGTCGCATGGCGACCAGCAAATCGATACGCAGGACCAGGGGGTTCTTGGAAGAGGCTGTTTTGATTTCCTTTGCTTTCCCCTCGAAACCGGGGTGTGCAAATCAATCCGCAAGGTCCGACTCTGCCAGATGGTCGTTTCCCTTCAGTGATGTTTCCTTAACGGATTCCTGATTAGGATTAGGGATCACTCTATGTGGCTGAGTAGGATTTAGGGATCACCCCAGGTGCTTGTGTTTCTTTCCCACAAATGGTTTCGGTTCTCCTGGTTTCCTTCAAAGCCAACCACAACTCGGTTCCCCCAAAAAAGCAGTCCCAATGCTGAACAACATCCTGAAGTTGGAACTTCAATGCTCTTTGGGTGTTGACAAAAGGGGGTCACTGTCTGGCGGCTTTGTGGGTTAATTCTATTAGCCATTAGCCATCTATTTTCCCAGAAGGTCTGTTATGAATGTCTCTCAAAGGGGAGGTCCCGAAAATGGTTGGCTCTTGGTTTCCCTTGAACACCACCCCACACCACCAACGTCAAGGTACAACCGAGGCGCTTTAAGGTAAAGGCCGGCAAGCGCCGAGACAGTGTACACATAGGTGTCCTTAAGTTAGTTTGACAAATAGAGGGCCCTGGTTTAGGTGGTAGTGTTCCTTCGATCATCCACCTGGGCCATCTATTTTCCACAAAGGACACCACTATGTGAGTATGTGAGGGCTTCTTCTTTCCGGAGACCGTCGCCAAAAAAAAACGTGCCCAAGCCAGATCGGGACGTCTGCATACATCCCGTCCATGGCATCCTCGCCAGGTCCGAGGCGTTATCCGGGATGCTGCCGCGCGCTCAGAGCCCTGTAGTTGCGCCTGCAAGGTTTCGAGTATGAGGTCTTTTACTAAAAAGCGATGGACTTAGAAGTGTGTACCTGACGTTTTCCATGGGTTCCACTTGTGCAGATAGTCCCACAAACAATTAACCATTTGGTCTGCACGAACGACATCGAGCTTACCTGCAATTGGGAGCTCGGCGTCCTGAATGCGGGTCCCTGACTTGAGATTCCTTCTGTCTGGTTGGTGGTTTTTGAGTCTGTAGCGCAGATGTCATCCAAAAAGATGGCGAATTTGTGTTGTTTCTACTGGGCAAGCGAGGCAAAAAGTGATGCAGAGGTGCGGGATCCATTTCAGAATGAGTCATTCAAAAAGACAGCGAATCCGTCGATTTTCTTGAACTACTATTGGCTGGGCAAGCGAGGCAAAAAGTAATGATGACCCAGCACACGTCTTGAATTGGCAATCATTCAATCATGGCCAAGTTGAAGCATGTTAGCCATGCAACCATAGCCCACGCACATACACACACACACACACACTAACATTTGCGTTCAAGTTATGCTTCCAACATTGATGTCACAGTTTTAGTTTTGTTTTACATTGACTGAGCATGACACAGTTTCAAAGGTGAACACCGGTTTCATGACGATTGTGATATAGAATGTGTATCCATTCTACGGTACAGTTCCAAGAATATCCTTATATACAATGGTAAACAACAAGTGTGTGTGTGTGTGTTGTTTGTGGGTGCTCACTGGTGAATGTCCAGTAAAATAATTACGGCTATGATGTCACGGGCACCCTCAAAAATGACAGACGTACATCTGCAATGTCCTAAGGTCCCCAATCCAAAATCATATCCACCTGGGTCCGTTTTTTGCAAGGGAGCCTTTTTTGTTGGTTTTGAAGGGACATCAACAGGAAGCCGTTGCGATCCATTTTGGGGTCCAAATACTAAAAACATTGACACCCACAGCCACATGCCTCGAAATCCTGTGCCCAGGCGGTAGGCCCATCACCAGGCGAGATTGAACAAGTTGAACCACTCCTGGCAGGTTGGACATGGAACCTTCACCAAAGGATCCCCACCATACACATGGAATTGGGGGAGAGGGGTGACCTGTGGAGATCTCCACCCTCATGAAATTGGGGGAGGGAGAAGGGTGATCTATGGAGATCTCCATTTGTATGTCCATTTTCCCTTTTATGGGGAGAGAAGATGGACTTGGGGGACCTCTCCCTGAAAGCCCTTTCGTGGTAGGGGGATGCCAAAGGATTAAGAGAACAGATTCACGGCGAGCGGGTTCCATCAGGGTTCCCCACTTCTGTTATGCAAAAGAATCCCCTCTTTCTATGGGGGTTTGTTCGCCTTTTTGTTTCTGTTGTATCACATAAGTTACCCTTCCACCAGCTAACACGGAAGTGCACAGACCCGCTGTAAGACGACTTTCCTCTTGGTTAGTTGGCCTTTGTCATTGTGCACAAACCCATGTTAGTTGGTGGGAGGTTACTTCCATTTCATCGGGGTTTGTTTGCCTTTGGGAGCTTTTCTTTCTTGTTTTCTTTAAACAAATATATAACACATGTTGTATCAAAGAAGTTAATTCCATTTCAACCACAGCCCCGGAGAGTTTCCATTTGTTAGTCTTTGAAAGGTTTTGGAAGTATGGTTGTATCACAGGAAGTGAATTCCATGTCAACCGCAGCCCTGGACATTTCCCATATACGGAAAAGCCCAGGCGTGGCACCAGGCCACGCGAGCCGACCGCCCGGAGCTGAAGAGGCGGATGGAATAGTCACCCGGTTCGGGGCACGGTCCAGAAGTTTTTTTTGGGGGCTGTGAGGTGGTAAAAGGAAAAACATGTCCGGAAAAAAAAAGGGTCATGGGGGCTGAGGGGGAGGGGAGGGGGAGAGAGCCCAAATAAGCCCTAAATAAGGCAATAAGGGCTTAATGAGGGCTTAAACAGGTTTTGACCATATGTTGACTGTTTCCGCGGGATATCGAGGTCAGAAACTTGGGTGGTTTCGCTTTAACCCATAATTTTGGAGTGACGTCGGTAGAATACTGGGGGCCATGCTTAGGTTTCCCGTCCCTACAGATTTGCGGGAGGAACCCAACAAGCCCAGCCAGTTGTAGAGGAAGTCTTTTTTTTGGAGATGGACCCCCTTTTGGGGTTCCATGTTCATTCGTAGGGGAGAAGAGGGTAATTGAATGTTGATGTCACGTTTTTTTGGACTCACTACTGTGGACAGAAAATCCGCTTCGCACCGGATGTGATTCATTGTGTCAGTAGTTCAGCCCCGGTCTACACGAGTAATATCTTTCCGATGGCTTGCACCCGAAGGCAGTGGGGCAATGGGGGGTGCTTTTGGGTATATCATCGAACCCGATGCCAGAAGGGCATTTTTTTTTAGGTGGCTCTACTGGTTTCCCCTAGAATTGTTTGGGCAATATCATTTTCAAGGGTAGCTTGTGAGGTTCGAGCCTGGGTACCTACAAAGATTGCCCTTTTTTCTAGGGGTAACTTCCCCATTTCCAGGGATCCTTCTTTCTAGAAAACGACCGAAAACCCTGGAGAAATGGCGATCGGTTTTTGAAAAGAACGATGGCTGAAAAGAATGGACAAGGAATCAGCCCCTAGACTTTTGGCTAGCGCGGCTTTGAATCCCATCGCTCCTTCCGCTAGGAAGCGCTGGCACTGCGCAGTTGGCCTCGCCTCTGCCTTGTTGGCGGACCGGCCCGTAGGCTCACGCCAGCGCCTGAGGGATGCGAACTTTAGCCAAACGAGGGAAAGCGGAGTGCAGCGTTCTGCGGAATTTCACGTTTACCTTCCATTTGGTTAAGAATATTTTATATTTCCCCGGTTGGTTTTAAAGGGAATCTATCCACTACTGGGAAATATGTTGTTTTGTTCAGGGGACTTAAGCAAATGGATGTTAGGGTTTCGTAAGAATATGGTTTTAAGCAACAAATTGTGTTTTTGGCTGCCATTGGAAGCTGCAGACGGTAACCAACGTGCGCATCTGACATGGTCTGTTAACCTCGGGTAGAACGAGCAGGCGCGAACTGGGCCTCAAATTTCTCGCTGAAAAGCCAAGGGCTGCGAGGCCCAATTTCCCATGTCACTTACGTTTTTTGCTGAAGATCCGTATGTTCAGACTTGTCTGTGTCTGTGTTCTAATAATAGCCGTGGAATTGTGTTCAAACGGACACCTCAATCTATGCCCATTCCTTACCTGAGGTTGTCAAAGTATTCAAAGAGTTTGGCCATTTCATGGGACATGCGTTGACATGCCTAGGACCCGATTTGGATGACAATCCTGAGGCAAACAATGGTCATACGAGCCATGGTTTTCATGGTGGACTTCCCGGGGCGCAAATTTTGCCGCTGGAATTCGCACGTCCCCGGTGCGGATTTCGTTAGGTGCGTTGGCTGTCGCCTTCCACTGCTTCGACACTGACATGGACGGGCCAGGGGAGTTCGGGCCAGGGGTCTTTGGCGTGCGACCGGAACAACACTTAAAGGGGGCGATCGGGTACTTGGCAAGGTAGTAACCATGGGTATAACCCACAAAAGCCATGGTTATAAGTCTCCGTTCAGTGGGTTGCAAACACGCTTACTAACCACTTACTAAGTACCCTGCCCCTTTAAGCAGTGCTTGGTGGCTCCCAGCCATCCCCTTAGCCTTTTAGCTTTTTGGGGGTTTAGTGGGGATTTCCATGTAACCCACTAAAAGTTAAACTTTTAGCAGGGGATCTGAGGGCAGCCCAGAGTGGTGCTCCTTTTGGTCTTCCTTGAACCTGAAACCGGTGGCCTGAGCCCAAACACAACTCAATCAAATGAGGGGAGGGGTCCTTCTCAACCAGAGCATGGTCTCTGTGGTGGTTTCATGTTTAGTCATGGCTCCAACAGCATAGGTGTCCTTTTTGTTTGTTTTGGCAAAAGAATAGATGGTTCTGGTTTACCAGGTGGTTTACTCATCTACCAGGGAAACCCATCTATTTCCCCCCAAAAGCACACCTAGTAGACTATCGCATGGGAAAATGTATGGCCTGGCTACAAGCGTAGAGATGTCCTCGTGGGACAGCTTCCCGGTTGCGCCCGTTTTCGTTTTTTTGGCCGGTTCAAAAGAAGACAGCAACCTCAAACCCACCCATTTTGGGAGGATGAGCATCAACTAGGTCCCCCAGTAGTCCCCTTTTACCACATTTTTTTTGGGTGAGGGTTCCCCTACTAAAATAGACCACCCTTTTTCGGTTCTAACCTCTCTACTGGAGGACCTAGTCAAACAAATTATTTTCGGGCTCAGATCAAGCAACAAAGACGATTTTGTCAGGGATCATGAAATCAGAACTCTTTAACTCTTTGATGTCTTTTTGGGTTGGTTTGGTAGCAAATAGATGGTGATTCCTGGTTGGCCTGGTAATTGCTACCCAATGTTAGCAAAATGACTTCTTCTGCGCATTTTCCGCAAATTCATTCATCCCCCCCCCCCCGCCCCTCAATTTCCGGCCTCCCGCTTCAACCGCTCGCAGGACTGCATCTTGCGGCTGGGGGAGGTGCCACTGTTTGTGGGATAGATCAGCAGCTAAGCAGCCTTCCTGGTTGTATAGACACCCTTGAAAAAGGGAGGCGCGGTTCATTGCCAGCTTTACCCCTAAAACCAGCAACAGTGACTGAAAAAAGCGATCGCCGCTTGGCTATTTCTCAGTGGGAAAGGCCTGGACCGACCCTGGAGGTGATAAATAAGCAGCCCCCCTATTTGTACAGACACCCTTGAAAAAGGGAGGCTCTGGATCGCCATCCCCTGCACTTTCCCCAAAAACCCTTGCAAACAGCAGCAACACTTGGGCTATTTCGGGCGGCTTTGTTTTTTTTTCAGCCCAGAGGTTCCTGGGGCTTTCAATGGAAGACCCAACCCCTCCATTAGACCCCCCGGGAATCGGTGTGTGGGACCCGGTCTCAAAACCTGGCTGTTAAATCGGGCCCCTTCAATACATCGAATTGGAGCCTCAGTGGGAAAGGCAACTGGACCGAGCCTCGAGGTGATGTTGATGATCCTGGACCTCACCGCGGCCCTGCTCAACGCCGCCGGCCTTGCGGAAGGCCCTCGGGCCCCGGTTTTCCCCGGGGGGTGGGGCAAGGCCGCGTTCGAGGAATCCGCGGGGGTCAACGAATACTTCCCTCTGTAAAGGATACTAGGTCCCCCAGTAGGGCCCTTTTTTCTTCTTTTTTTAAGGGAGGGTTCCCCTACTAAAATAGACTGCGGAAGAAAGGGTGCCCGTATTCTAACGTCTCTACTGGAGGACCTAAGCTTGCATATTTGATCCCGGTTTTCCGGGGGGGCTGTTTGAGAAATTCAAGGGGGTCCACCAATTGTTCCCTCCAAAAACAGGGATATGTTTCACACCAACTGGTTTAACGGTTTTGAGTTGTTTTTCTATAGTGGGTCCCAAAAAGGAGTGACGGCCTCAAGATTTGCCTCTACTCCCCTGCTAACGGAAGGAACCCAATCAGGGGGGAGGTGCATTTCGGACAAAAGGAGCTTGCTTCCTCAACGGATGGGTGGGTGTTTGGGGTTTCCTCCCATACTTTTGTAGGGCAGTATATTTCCCTCAGGGTGGTTTTAAACGTAAACAGTTGCCAATTCAGAATAAGTCTTCTTTTGGGGTGGTGTAAGCCCCAGCCGCCTGCCCCGGCCAAGCGGGCCATCGAGGCGCCACCATGGACCTGGCCATGGCCTCCGCGGCCTCGCGGCTGCCGAGGGATCTGCTCTTCGAGAAGGCCCTCGCCTTCCGCAGGCCGAGAGCCCAGCGCCGAGCGATCGAGAGCGAGGGGAAGCGGAGGGGAAGCGGAGGGAGCCGAGTGGAGCGAAGAAGCGGGAAACTCGCCCAAACAACCCCCCCCAAAAAATATATATAATAGAATAAAAAGTTGTTGGTGGCTTTTGTGTGGCCTTGCGGCAGCAGATCCAGGTTGCTGGTTTGGTTTGGGGGGGGGGACCACCTTGAAAGTGAGCTGATCTCTCCAAAAGGTGCTGACCTTTGTTTAACGTTTATTGGGAGGGGGGTTCCCCTTTTTGTTGCACCTTTTTTGTCCTTGGAGGGGGGTGGGCCCCGTTCAACTGAAGAATAACCTGCCATTTGTTTCATGTTCCCTTGCAAGCCCAATGCGAGTCCACAGACAAAAGAAACTGGTATTCCCAACACCTCCAGTCAGTCAGTCAGTCAGTCAGTCAGTCAGTCAGTCAATCAGTCAGCCAGCCAGCCAGCCAGCCAGCCAGCCAGTCAGTCAGTCAGTCAGTCAGTCAGTCAGTCAGTCAGTCAGTCAGTCAGTCAGTCAGTCAGTCAGTCAGTCAGTCAGTCAGTCCATCATTCTCGCACGTGTAGGCTCGTCTTTGAGTTATATGCACAATTCACATATCATGCTATGCATATGCATACACAATGTCATGTGCATGTATGTATGAACATAATGTATGCATATTTGTTTTTGGATAGCTGGTTGGATATGCACATGTTAATATATTTCTATACTTATGTGTGTGTATACTATATATATGTATGTATGTATATATATATATGTACACATTCTCACGTTGGTCATCTTTTTGCATGCCTTTGGGGGTACAGAGTGCTGGTCTTCAGCATATCATGGCTACAGCTGACTGTCACGTCTGCACATTAATCCATTTAAAGGAGTCGATAGATTGCCGAGGGTGAAGCCCAAACAAGCAAACATGCTGGACCCAAGAAAAAACAATCCCTTGATTTCTCGCAATAGGGCTGTCCCGTTTAGGAGAGGATCCTTTACTTTCAGGGAGGTCTCCTCCAAACCGATGTTATATTTTAGGATAGGCAACAGAAGGATATGGGCCAAGATTTAATCAATCAGGTTTCTTGCAAAGGGTTTGGTTACAGGAACATCAAATCAACAGGAAATGGCTCAACAACACCCTAAATAAGCGTTTTCCTGTCGAATTTCCTGTAGCCCAACCCTTTGATTCTTAACTTCGGGGTCGGCATTCCCGAAGCATACTTTTCACGAGCGGCTTCGTATGTCCGCCGTTGCCTGACGGCAGGCGCTGCGACCAGAGTGGCTTGACTCTACCGTGCGGCGATTGTTATTAACAAAAAGCATCAGGGTCAGTTTTGTTGCCTTTAATATATGTTTTGTATTATTATGTTTTTTTCGTTGTGTCTGAAAATAGAGGGGGGCCTTTTTTTAGTTTATTTTTTTGTTCCTGCACTTTATGTGGGTGAATCTTACTATACCTTGTGTTCTTTGCTGGATATGTCGGGGAGGCGCAAAATAGAGGGACGCCTAGAATGGTTGTTTCCCTTGTGTAAAAGGGGTACCCGCAAAAAAGGACACCCACATTTGTTATGGAATGACCAGTTCAGCGGCAAGTAGGACAAACATGTCGGACTTTGCGGCCAATCCAGTGGGGCTTCAAGTATCGACTACTCTGCAGTTTAAGATTCGGGTGGGGAACCCAAAGCACCTAGCCATTTGTAGAGGAAGCCCCTTCCCTTTTGGGTTCCTTCCAATAACTTGTAGGAAACAAAAGAAAGACATAGTTTGTAAGCTAATCATATTTTTTTGGGTGGTTCCTTCCAAACAATCATGCGAGTTTTTATGTCGGGGTGATGTTTAGAAAGACCCCAAGAAAGCCGCTCCTTCAGATCCCTCGCTGGGCCCTATGGCCAGGGTCGGAAGCTGGTCCCACTGGACCCCGGCCAGCCGGAGAAGCCACTAAAAAGTAAAGCTGTCAGCAGGGGTTCTGGACGATAACAGAGAACCGAATTTGCGCGCACGCAAATCAGGGATTTGCCGGCGGCCACACTGATCAGTGACAACCAGTCGCATGTTGTTCAACAGCGGTTTGTTCTGATGAGGGGCAGAAAGAACCGCCCGCTCAAGCGTGAGCCTCAAGAAAGCGAGCCTGGCCCGTTTCCTGTTGTGCGGGGGTGGTGTTGAGAGGGAGGGCGCGTGTTTTTGTTTTTGTTTTTTTTTTGGGGGGGGGGAGTTGAGGTCCTTTGCTTGTGTCTAGGCTCGAGACCATTGCTTGCGTCTAGGTTTAGAGTTCAAGCTATGGGGCTCGTCTATGGTGCTTTCCTCCACTCTATTTACCCTCCCTCCCACGAACATTGCACCTGCGGGAGCGTGAAGATGGGTTTAATTGCTCTTGGAGGGACCTGGTCCCTGCCAGGAGCCATGGCAAACGTAGGAGAGATGGTAGGGTTTAGGGTTATACACCCTCTTAGACTTACAGGGTCCAAGTACCTTCTAAGGAGGTACTTAGACCCCTTTTTACCCCCCAAAAGCCAGCCTCATGAGGTACTTGGACCCTCTGGGTCTGGCTTGTTTCTGCAAAAGCTGAGGCAACGATGGACGCATTGGCAAGGACGGGGTCCCGATACATTCTCTAGCCTTCAGCAAGGTCACCAGACGTAAGACGTACCCTGCCGGAAAGAAGCTGGTTGTGGCGAATGAGGCAGAGCCACTTTGGTTGCTGCTGTCCAATGGGGATTAGTAAGCGCGGCTGGCTTCCCCGGTTAACAAAGGAGGCCACTCTAAATCGTCACGCTCCACGGGCGTGGTCGAGTAATTTGCCCGCGGTGGTGGCTCGTTGTTCGGAGCGAATCAACCCGAACTTCGCCCAAATGATATGGCCTTTGCTGAAAACAGGAGGCCTCCCAGCATGTCACCTTGTCTGATTTGTTCAACATAGTCTTCATGTTTATTCAGGTAACGATTTAGCCCTAGGAGCCCGAGACCTCGCTCGAACCAGAAGATACACTCTCACGGGCTAAGATGGAAGCTGACGTTTCGGGGTGCTGGCTTGGACGTGTTTTTCCTTTTTAAAGGGACCGGGTTTTTGTCAGGTGGAGGGTACCTGGGTGGTTCCCGGCCATCCGATTCCAAAACGGACAGTAGCTGGTTTAGTGGTTACTTTGGTGCATTTTGCTTGGATGTTAGGACTTGAACTTTTTGCCAACTAGTGGGTTTTCCATTAAACCACTAAAGGTTAAACTTTTAGCAGGGGAGCAGAAAGCATCCGAGGTTGGGTTTCCATTTAAGCTACAAGTTCGACTTTTTCACGGGATCTGAGGACAGCCCAGTTACTCACAGGGGTTCAAATTCAATCCAAACCGCCAAGGGGAATTGAGGGAATGAGTTGGAATGAGTTCACTGATGCCCTTCCGGGCTCCTCTCTTTTGCGGCTTTTTTGGCGGTTCCCTTCAAAAAACTATATTTTCTCAGCCTTTTCACATGGAACCTGACAGGGTAATGATCCCTTTAGAACAGGGTCCACCGAAACATCAGGTTCCATGCGTTATTTGGTGGGAGGGCGTATGTTACTGGGGTCCCAGACCTTTGGTGGACATCATTGACATGGGGATTTTTATATCAACCAGCCAAGTCGCGCAAGAAAATCGATACCTACCTGGACTCTCCATGACCTTTAAAGAATGGGGTCATTGACCCAAATAATGGGGTCAGACCCCTTTTTCTAGGGGTCACGGAGACTCTAGACACCCCTTTTAAAGTCGCACAAGAAAATGGGGTCATTGTCCCAAATAATGGGGTCGTCATGACCCCTTTTTCTAGGGGTCACGGAGACTCTAGGCCCCCCTTTTAAAGTCGCGCAAGAAATTCGATAGCTACCTAGACTCTCCATGACCCTTAAAAAATGGGGTCATTGCCATGACCCCTTTTTCTAGGGGTCACGGAGACTCTAGGCACCCCTTTTTTAAGTCGCGCAGGAAAATCGATACCGAGATTGATTCCTCTTTTCAACCATCGTTTTTTTCAAAAACCAGCTATCCTCCCAGGTGTTTTTGTTCTCGAAAGCTTCGGATCCCTGGAAAGAATGGGGAAGCAGCCCTTAGAGCTGGCGGAGGACGAGTTTGTCGCGCACGGGCACGAAGCTTTGCTTGACGCCGCCGCCAGTGTTTGAGAAGGCTGGCGGAAAAGCTCCCCCGAAGCCCGAAACGCGGCGGAAAAAACGGGAACGGGAGGAAGCCGAAGCCGAATTTTCATCTTAGGGCGGGGGTATGATGGACACTTAGGGACGAACATGTTGCAACCTCCGTCTTTTTGGGCATTGACTTTTAGGGTTCTTGGCTGCAACATGACCTTTCAAGTGTCTATGGCACTAAGGGGGCACGTGACACTCCTTGAGTTCCAGTAATTCGCACATACAAGAGGTGCTGGACTGTATACTTTTGGGGAAGACCATCCGGTATATGTGAAGAAACAGTGTGGACTTGTCTCTTGCCAATCCAAATGGGAATTGAGGTTGCTTAAACGGTCCGGGATGAGTCGCGCGGTTAGATGGCCTAGTTGCCCCAAAGGGACCTACAATAAGCATGGTTGCTAAGCACACGATGTTCCCGGACCGAGTATCCCACCTGGAGGTGAGATGTTTTCAGCACGTGTTTTGTGTGAAGGGTAACCCCAGACATGGGTGTGCCTTTTTTGCGGAGCTGTTTCTGGACGGTTCAAAGGGACACCAGAAGGAAATGAACCATTTTGGGGGGTGGTTCTGAGACAAGCCCAAGTGGGCTTCGGCTTTCCTTTTTGCCTTGGCTTTCAGTAAGGCAGCCTGAGGCCAGGATCCCGAGGGTGGTTTCCCTTTAAACATATTATATACGTTGCGCTGTTATGTGCTCTGACATTGTGCATTTAGATTCTTCTGCTAGGGGTCACCGTACGCGGAAGCCTCGCAAAGCCGCGTTATTGAACTGGAGTGTTGCTTCTATGTATGCTTACGAATATTTACTTTGTACCCTTGTTGGCTTTAAAGGGAATCGATCTTGCTGCCACCTAGACTCTCCATGACCCTTAAGAAGCGGGGTCATTGCCCCAAACTTTGGGGTCATGATCCCTTTTTCTAGGTGTCACGGAGACTCCAGCCAAACATGTTTTGCCTGGGGGCGTATCAACAGAGCAGCCCCGATCGAGAACACTCCATTGCACACTCCATTGGGGTCAGGATATTCATCGAAATGTGTTGGACCTGAAAATGGGCCTTTGAAGTCCCAAGATGCTGCTGGATGAAGGTTGGTGAAACAGAATGCGTTAATTCACCCAGATTCTGTCAGATGGCATTTAGGGACCCTATACCCTCCCAAGGATGCGTAGATGCATTTAGCATCAACCACTCGCTTCGCTAGAGAACCAACTGGCTGTGTTCGGGCCTGAGTAGGGACGTTCTGGTTCACCGTGAAAGAGGGCAGCAGGGGGGGGGATTTTTATGGATGGCTTGTTTGTTCATGGTACCCCTTGTGAGGCTGGTATACAAGGAAACCTGAAGGATGTTTAGATGTTGCGGAACTTAAGCTACATGGCTAGTGACCCTGTTTGTAACCCCTTAGAGGACTTACACCCATGGTAGGTAGTTCAAGTAGTTTGTAGGTTAGTAGCCACTTAGCGGTTCGTCGACCATCCAACCAATAACATGCTTAAGAGTGTCGGCCTTTTACTTGCTGGTTCGCAGCAGGGAAAGGGAAACCCCTATAAACCATCCCTTGTGGTTTCCTGTAAGGGAATTAACACTTACCTCTTCAAAACACAACTTTTCAACTTTTTGGGTAACATGGGCTATATGTCTGTAAAATATTAACTTCCCCAGGGCTTGGAGTTTTAAGGGGTATGAACAGGTTCATTCCCAACACCCAGAAGGTCATTCCCTACTGAGCACCAGCAAGTTTAGAGCCAGACCCGGTTGGCCGGTAGATCATGGTGGAACTTTTGTAAGCCTCAATGGGTATTTTGATAGATACCTCCTTTTTATTGGGGGGGGGTAGGTGCCCTGCTTGGCTTCCTCTTGGAACATGGTTCCACCACAATCGCCAAAAGCTCATAAAATTAGGTGCAACATCTGACGCAGGTTGAGAGTTGTGAGGCTGGCGATTTGTGTCGCGCGATTTAATTTGAGGCGTCCAATCTGCTGCCTGTCAGCTGGGGTCATCCTACCGCCTACCGCCGTTTTGAAGCTGTCAGCCAAGTTTTTGGACCCACAAATCAACATTCGTAGAAGTGCACTTGACTCGTTTTCAGTATCTTATTTTCAGGAATAAATGACATTTAACAAACACACATGTTAAACTAGCAGTGGCTTTACATGTGTTTTTTCTTTCAAGGTAGGAATCGCACACTTTCCCAACAAAAAAGCACGGTGGCAAAAGGACCACGGCTGTGTGGCAGCAGCGAGGTGTCTTTGCAGCGATCTTGTGCAGTAAGGGACCTCAGAGATGAAAACTTTGTTTCTTGTTTTCCTTTGATTTTACGAGGCAACTGGTTCCCCTCAAAAATGGTTGGGATATAAATCCCCATGTAAATATATGGCTGTGGGTCAACACCAATGGTACCTTTTTGGAGTAGGCGCACCACCCATTTAGTTTTTTTCAGTGGGGATTGGGATGTTCACTGGGGGTACGGGATTTTGAGCCATGGACATATGCAAATGATGTTCACCAAAGGGTCTGGCATGATATCCAACAGTTTTCTTCGCTGCCTTCCATGTTTGTTGTGTTTTTCCGGTGGGACAGCAAAGGCCCACCTTTACTCTGCGCTTCCGGGGCGGAATACAAGGGTCTGCCTTGATTGGCAATGGGCTCTGAAAACTCCCTATGGTGGCGTCCATGGCAAAATCTGTCTGTGTGTGTCTGTGTCTGTCTGTCTGTCTGTCTGTCTGTCTGTCTGTCTGTCTGTCTGTCTGTCTGTCTGTCTGTCTGTCTGTCCTGTCTGTCTGTCTGTCTGTCTGTCTGTCTGTCTGTCTGTCTGTCTGTCTGTCTGTCTGTCTGTCTGTCTGTCTGTCTGTCTGTCTGTCTGTCTGTCTGTCTGTCTGTCTGTCTGTCTGTCTGTCTGTCTGTCTGTCTGTCTGTCTGTCTGTCTGTCTGTCTGTCTGTCTGTCTGTCTGTCTGTCTGTCTGTCTGTCTGTCTGTCTGTCTGTCTGTCTGTCTGTCTGTCTGTCTGTCTGTCTGTCTGTCTGTCTGTCTGTCTGTCTGTCTGTCTGTCTGTCTGTCTGTCTGTCTGTCTGTCTGTCTGTCTGTCTGTCTGTCTGTCTGTCTGTCTGTCTGTCTGTCTGTCTGTCTGTCTGTCTGTCTGTCTGTCTGTCTGTCTGTCTGTCTGTCTGTCTGTCTGTCTGTCTGTCTGTCTGTCTGTCTGTCTGTCTGTCTGTCTGTCTGTCTGTCTGTGTGTCTGTCTGTCTGCTGTGTGTGTGTGTCTGTGTGTGTGTGTGTGTCTGTGTGTGTGTGTGTGTCTGTGTCTGTGTGTGTGTGTGTGTGTCTGTGTGCGTGCGTGTGTTTTGAGCACAGGTGCCTTTTTTAGGTTGTGGTCAGAATAGTTAGACGGCAATGGTTTAGATTGGTTTTTATTTGGCGTCTATTTTGCCAAAAGGAGATAGTTTGGAGGGTACCCTTTTCATCGAGGACATGTTCGTGATGGCTTCTGGTACGGTATGGAGGTGTTATACCACTTATTACAAGGGGTATATACTGGCTTACAAGCATATAGTTGTGATTTTGAGGTCCTATGGCCCCCACACCCATACCTGGAAGACATGAAAATTGCCTGACGAAAAGAGACAGCCACATCGCCATGGGCAGGGCCTCCCTAGCTGCTTGATGCTGCTCAGGGAATGAGAGAATGAACCTGGGGGTCCTTTTAGGAAGCCACAAGGGATGGTCTATACCCAGAGGCTCCCGGACTCCCGAGGTATTTAGGGCCCTCAAACGACCAGGTTTTGAGACCCCCAAACACCTCCCGGGTGTGTAATGGAGGGGTCGGGTCTTCCATTGAAAGCCTTGGGTAGGTGTCATTCCCTCGTTCCCTGCTGAGCACCAGCAAGTTGGACACATACCCACTTAGAACCGGTTTTGCCAGGTTTAACTTTCGGGGCCTTTCGTGGAGTAGAAAGAGGTCCTCCTTGCTTGCGTCCCTGCAAGTAATGTGTGTGTGTGTTGTTGCTTAGACCCTTGTATCAGGATTGCTAGAATGATACAGTTTTTTTTGGCCAAATCGACGCTGATTTGGAGTATTCGGTGGTGAATCAGATGATTCTTGGCGTATCTTTTCGGGAGCCCTTGTTATGGGCTTCATGAACCCTGATTTTGTCAGGAGAAAGACAACAGAAAGCCCGGCTGGCAGGTTCACTGTGTGACTGATCGTAAGTAATCATTCGCAGGTACATGACCTTGCGCGCCCGCTTTGCTGGCTTCAACGCCATGTTGTTACCCTTGGCCTTTTTGCAAAGTTGAGCGAACAAACCTTTCTTGTTCTTTGGCTTCACTCAGTCAGCGCTGCAGCGCAATTGTTTGAGACTATCACCTTTATATAGGCAGGACAAGACGTGACCAGAGGCCCAGTGGCAACTTGAACAGATCGCTGCCTGCGCTATTGATTTTTCCCTTTTGCGCGCGCTTCGAAGATTCGGCGTGGCCCGCTGTGGAGCGAACTCGTGTCACTCGGTTTCCGTCACTGTCCCCTTTGTTTCGGACTGTTTGCATCGGACTGCTTGCTGAGGGCCTACAATGAGAACGATCTCGAGCGTTACCATAGCAATGATATGCGAGCATCTCAATCTTAGCGGGCTTTTGTGCAGCTAGGTGCCCCAGCTAGGTGCCCTCTTTATCCCCTTTTTTGAGGGAGGGTTCCCCTACTAAAGTAGACTACACAAAGAAGGGTACCCTTATTCTACCCTCTCTACTGGAGGACCTAGGCAGAGATGGGAGCCGACATCGGCGCCGTAATAGCGCGCCTGGCATTGACCTCGCGGGGTCCGTTTGTGCGGCCTGGCAGTTGCCGCGAAGGCCGAAATCAAAGCCGGGTACATCTGGATATGTCCGGTCACCATTTCCTGAAACTGGCGGTTTTGCCACTGGTTTCTTTTCAATCCAACCCCAAAAAGCGCACCCTCAAAAAGGACACCCATATGAGGAGTCGTCCAAATGTCCTGATTTGTCTATGAATTTGGGAGGGGCGAGAAGGGAGAAAGAGCTCGAATTGTCCTACCAAACCCAACGGACGAGCTCTTTTATGTTCATGTCCTTTGGGTGGGGGTGACAGGTAGTCTTGACCCTGGCTCATATTTGCCTTTTTTTCGGAGTTACTACTGGTTGCTATTTGGGGGGCCATGACCGTGACCGTTTTGACCGTGGCTCATATAGACCGTACTTGTCATTGCCGGCTTCACGGCCTTGCCATTTCCTTCCATGGTTTGCGCATGGATGTTCATGATACACGGACATGCCTTTTCCAGAGTTCTAGGGGTCGTTTCCCCATTCTTTTGAACCATCGTTCTTTTCGAAAACCGATCGCCGCTTTTCCCGGTTTGTGGAGGTTTTCTAGAAATTCGGATCCCTGGAAAGAATGGGGGAGGCCCCTAGAAGAGTGGTCTCATCTAGTGAACACAGCGGAATGCCCAATCGTTCCTGCGCTCTGGGGTACGTAGTAACCCCAAGAAACAGCAAAGCAGAAGTCATGACCCTAGCAGCATCATCGTAAGTACCTAGACACTCCATGACCCTTAAAAAATGGTTGGTCATTGCACAGGATTCAGGGGAATGGGCCCCTTTTTCTGGGGTCATGGAGACTCTAGGTACTTGGCCCCATTACAGATGACGACCTGGCCGCCTAAGGCATTGAAGTCGCTTGGCTTTGATTTGGCACCCTGTCTGTACTGTTGACCGACTGGCTGCGATGAAAAGAATGCTGGCTGCAAACCCAAGTTCGGTTCCTTGGTTCCGCACAGTTTGTGCGGATGACTCGGGGAATTCAGAATTGGCTACTGCATAGAGATAGACCATGAGGTACTTGGTGGTTCGCCATCCGGTTCCTTAGCTTTTTAGCTCTTTAGTTGGTTTACTTGGTCTAGTGGCTCGGTTTCCGAATTCCGCCCGCAAGTGCCTGGAGCCTCCATGCCCCTGAAAAAAACATGGGTCCATGACCCCGTTATTTGTTGGGTATCCAGGTGAGCGTTTTGAGCTGATCTGACCACCGTTGTCAGCGAGTCGAACGAAACTGGGCTCGACTCCCTTTCAGGGGGCTCCTTTCAGCCTTGCGACCGGATGGGAAATTTCTATCACAGACCCTTTGGACATTGTGGACATGGGGATGGATTTTTTTATCCACCAATCCATTTATATCCACTTGAGTCGCGCAAGGACATCGATACCTACATGACCCTTCAACAATGGGGTCATGACCCCTTTCTTTTGGGTAATGACCCCATTTTTAAAGGGTCATGGAGAGTCTAGGTAGTTCGTGTAGGGGTTGCTTCCTTGTCCATTCTTTTCAGCCATTGTTCTTTTCAAAAACCGATCGCCATTTCTTCAGGGTTTTGGGTGGTTTTCTAGAAAGAAGGATCCCTGGAAAGAATGGGGAAGTTACCAATGGAAAATTGGCAACTCCCTTGGATATATCTTTGATGTTCCCCTTGCATTTCTTGCGATCGGTTCGAGAGATGCAGGGAATGAGAAATGAAGAACCCTGAAACAAATCATCGCCGCAATCATCGCCTATGAATCCTCCTGGAAATCCCTTCCAGTTCATTCCCAGCACCCGGAAGGTCATTCCCTACTGAGCACCAGCAAGATGAGGCTTCAGCAGTTGGGGTCTTTGAGTCTGGGTCCTGCTGGATGAACAAAATCCGCTTCGAACCGGGGATGGATGAGGTCCTATGGGATAAACCACCAATCCCTTCCGTTTGATTAAGCTTTTTGTTCCCTTCTTGGCATTGAAGGGGAACTATTTTGGATGGACAAAGTGCTTCGCCGCCGAAGAAGCCCTGGAATGATGATTCCCCTGCAAACACCAACAAACGTTATGGTTTCAACCATGGTTTCATTTTAAAAGGCTAGGTCCCCCAGTAGTGCCCTTTTACCCTTTTTGGGGGGAGGGTGCCCCTACTAAAATAAACTACCGGGACTCTCCATGACCCTTAAACAATGGGGTCATTGCCCAAAATTAAGGGGTCATGACCCCTTTTTCTAGGGGTCATGGAGACTCTAGGTACCCTTATTCTAACCTCTCTACTGGAGGACCTAGAAGGAAATGCTCTTTCACCCCCCGCAGGTTCCTCTGGTGGGAGGGCGCCAGGTTGTGGACTTAAATGGAAGATCCTCGGCCGGTGCCGCGGATGTTGTTCACATATCAAAAAAATCCAAAGGAAAACACAGGAACACCAAGCAAACCAAGGAAAACACTTGGAAACCAAGGGAAACCAAGTCCTTTGCATGTTTGAGCCTGGTTTTAGTGAGGAGCTGTTGACTCGCCACTAAGGGTCCTCCCCCCAAAACAAACAAATGGAGTAGCGCCCAGAACGGATTTCCATTGGCCATTTTAGTACTTGGTGGTTCCCAGCCATCCCCTCTCGTTTTTAGGGTTGGGTGGGGCTTTCCATTTAACCCGCAAAAAAAGGTAAAAGTTGTTAGCAGGGGATCTGGGGACAGAGTAGATTCCTGGCTTCACTGGGTTGTAAGGGCTGTCTAAACCTTCACCATGTTGATAGAACCAAAACTTTGGCACATGTTGCTTGGATGTCAGGACTTTAACTTGTTGCCAACTAATGGGTTTTCCATTAAACCACTGAAAGTTAAACTTTTATCAAGGGAGCATAAAGCAACCGAGAAAGGCCGTCTCGGTTTGGTCGCTTCTTTGGGTCAAGTCTGAGTCACGCATCGCGGGCAAGCGACCGACCGATGCTCTTTGGCCATGGGCTCGATGTACCAGGGTCAGGCTTCTACAGTGCTGCCGTTTAAACAAATGAAAATCACATACATATTCAACACTGAAAGCAATTAGAGGAGTAAGAATGATAATAGCAGCGACACTAGTAACAACAATGATATTATATCTTAATATTAACAACAATATAAGAACAATCAAGGCACACATAGTCATATCAATGTCAGCCCAAGGCTTAGGGGTAAACATCGACCACGTATTTTTCCATATTTGCAAGTTCGTGTCAGTTTTGCTGCATGTTGGCCCGTAGGCCGAGACTCTTGACCAGCGAGCACTTTGAGAGATTTTTTACATGAGGCCCTGAACTAGGCACGCAAAGTAGGTTCGACGCCACAAGGGGGGTTTCAATATAATATCTAGTATGTTGTTAAACAAGTAATAAGGATTGCTTCGTTTTTTTTTTTAGCGTGTCCAGACTCCCGAGGGTCCATGTGATGGATGCACCCCACCCGCATGTTTTCGTTTTCTCCAACATTATGTGCCTTGAGACGTCACGTCAAGGTGTTTAGAACCCCAACAGGGGCATCATTGTGCCGGACTGCTAAGAGAGTGATCCCCGATATTCCGAAGCCTCAAGTTTATTCGGACCTGTCATTTTGCAGAGTCTATGGTATATTTGGCTGTGGCTCAAAAAACCGGTACCAAAATGGAACCCTAGTAAGTGGAAACATGGACCAACACCTGCGGTTTGCCCCTCCCGGTTAATTTTGAGCCACACCCATTTCTTCATTAGGATATAAATGGGTGCTCTTTGGTTTGAGGGTACCCTCAGGGTCGTTTTAAGGGAAACCACAAGTCGACCTCTGTTTTTCTTTGGGGAGGCAGGGCTCCGTGCCCTTGGGGCACTTGGAGTATATGTTGCAGCCAAGAACCCTAAGGAACCAATACCCTAAATGAAGGCGGCAAAAAATCGACCCGAAGTGTCCACGAAAAAGGGGGAGGGGGGCGTCCCCTAGTTTGACGGTCGCCATGTGGATGTCCGCGTGGCGCGCTTCGGCGGTGTTTGCGCCGCAGCCGCCCTGCCTTCCGACGCGAAGCCCGGCGCTTCGCGGCACGGCGCCGGAGCCGGAGCCGCGGAGGCTGAGGCGCAGCCAGGGCCAACATTAAACCACTCAGGTGAGTTTCTGCGATACCAACAAATCATGTACCTAGATTCTCCATGACCCTTAAAAAAAGGGTCCATGACCCAATAATTTTGGGTCACGACCCCATTTTTGAAGGGTCATGGACACTCTAGGTAGGTGTCCTTTTTGGTTGATTTGGTCGAACAAATAGATGGCCCTGGCTTACCTGGTTGAATCATCTACCCAGGGACATCTATTTCCCCGAAAAGGACGCCTATACCTGAGTCACGTCCTCAAAAGACGGGGAGTTGGAGGGTAAGGAACAATCCCCTTGCCATGGATGCGGAAATTTGCCTTTTCAATTTTTCAGTTCTTGCAGCATGGTTCTGGGTCCAGGTGGATCGTTCCGTTTCGGACTCGATCCTCACTTTTTTGTTCTTGGTTGCCATTTCTCACTTGCCCAAAGCCGACCTTCTGATCTTTTGTTGTTTGCCGGTTTGGTCCATGCTCGGTCGTGGCCCCAAAAGACTAACCTTCTATTTTTGGGCCCTTTGGGCAAGTGAGATTTTAGTGGCATTCCCAAACATGTTGGTGACTTGCTTTGGCCAATCAGGAAGTGAGCCTAGAAGCCGAATGTTGACCCCATATTCATCAACCTCAGAAAATTAACAGGGGGGGGTCCCACTGGGGAGATGTGGTTTGAATCCGACCACTTTTGGAGCCCCCTCTATGAATACACTGGGGGTGATTGCTGTCGGGTTGACTTTGTCTTGTTGGTTTGAGTGGGACATCGCCAGCGGTACATTTGGTGGTTAACCCTGTTTGTAGTCCACTTAAAAGGAGCTCACTTCCTGAGTTCCTGGAAAGTTTATAGCCTTTTTTTGGGCCATCCACTCAAGTGAGGGACTTACATTTGTTCCTAAAGCCAGGTTACGCGCCGCTTCTCCATTCGTCCCGGTCTGCTTTCCAGGCAACGCCGTGCCCGAACTTCCCTGCGCGCCGCGCGTGCCTCGCGCGGGGACTACGACGCAGTCGTGGTGGGCAGCGGGATCGGCGGCCTGTGCGCTGCGGCGACCCTGGCCAGGTGGGAGAAAATGTAAATTTGGCACATGTTGCTTGACTAGGTGCCCCAGTGGTGCCCTTTCTCTCCCCTTTTTTGGGGGAGATTCGTTTCCCCTACTAAAGTAGACTACACAAAAAAGGGTACCCTTATTCTACCCTCTCTACTGCAGGACCCAGTTGAATGTTGGGACTTTAACTGTTTGCCAACTAATGGGTTTTCCGTATTAAACCACTAAAGGTTGGTCACTTTTAGCAGGGGAGCCAGGGGAGCAACCGAGGGTATCTGAAACCTTGGTGGGTTCAGCCACCCCCTTGCTGGAAAAAAAACCATGTGCGTAAGCAAAATGTGTGGAGAGTTGCTCATGGTTGTGAGCCGTTTTGTTTGGTCGTGCTATCGCTGGGGCGGTTCCCAGGCAGGTTCCGGAAGGTGTTTGGCGGGGTTTTTGGTGGGTTTAGTGGGGGTGTCCATGTAGTGGGATTAGTGGGATTAGTGGGATTATTTGGTGGGATTAGTGGGATTAGTGTGGGTGTTGATAAAGTTTAATGGGGTTGCCATGAACTTACAGGTTAAACTCGTAGCCAGGAATCAGAAAACGGACAGCCCAGCTGGGTGCCTAATCACTATGTTTGGCACGGGTCTCAACCACCCTAGCCGCTTAGCCGCCCAACCATCCCAACAACCCTAGCCCCTCTAGCCACCAACCACCTCAGCCAGCTCGATCACCCCAACCACCCCAACCACCTCAACCACCTCAACCACCTCAACCACCTCAACCACCTCAACCACTCATCACCCACCCCAACCACTCATATGCGAGTCCCCCCCTTTCCGTGTTGGTCGCCAAGGCCGCAGATGAAAGCAGCTTTGCAACAGGATGCTGAACACTAGCAATGCCATGTTAACTCAGTGTTTCCTTTTTGGTCTGATTTTTTCGTAAATCAGCTTCCCTCTAGTTGGTGGTGCGGATTGGTGGTTCGTGGGGGGGCTTCCCATTCACCTCTCTACAAGGCCAGGGGTTCAAATCCTATCCAAACCAATCCAAACCACCAATCAATGAATACCCGAGTAAAGGTTCCAAAAGGTGAACCTTTATTTCTGGGTTCGAACTGGGCAAGCGAGCTTGTCGCTCGCTGGCTTTTGGCTCGAGGCGAGAAACCCTACCTGCCCATTCCACTGATAGCTAACCTCTACGTTCGACGCTTTTCAGCGGCCATTTTCACAGGTGAACCCGAAACAATCAGAACTCCGCATTGCAGCTTATGGCCCACCATGGCTTCCAGAAAGGAGCGCGAAGCTCTATTGTTTAGGTCCCCCAGTAGCGCCCTTTTACCCTTTTCGGGGGGAGGGCTCCCCGACTAAATAGACGTTGAAACAAGTTGGTACCCTTATTCTAAGCTCTCTACTGGTGGACCTAGTCTGTTGTTCTTTTGTTCGGCGCAAAACGCTGAACTCGCCATGTGGCTTCTTCTTCTGCTGCCGCTGGCGCTGGCAGTGCATGTGCCCCTGGACGACGAGTCCACTGCTCTGGTGCAGCGGGGGGCCATCCGCAGACCGAGCGGACCGCCGAGGTTGCAGGTCGGAGCGAGCGGTCGGTTCCCGGCCCGGTGGATTCCACCCAGAGTTTGAATGACCCCTAGAGAAAGGGGTCATGACACCTGAATTTGGGGTAATGACCAACCATTTTTTAAATGGTCATGGAGAGTCTAGGCACCCTTTGTTCCTTCTTTTTAGAAGGGTCAACCCTTTTAACTCGACCAAAGGATGCCAGGTGCGTTTCCATGGCTTTCGCCACGGGGCAACAAAGGCTTGCCCAACTTGTGGGGGGCTTCCGACCTTCACCAATCGTTTTTCGAAAATGAAGGCCCGACAGCCACAGTCACATCCCTGGGCGCCTGAAAATTGGAATTGGGGGAGGGGGGACTTTGACTGGAGATCTCCATTGGTGACCTAGCAACCCCTCTTCCTTCTGGACTAGACTGGAAACACCATGTGAAACCTGCGACGCCCATGAAAACATAGGGTAACCCTCGAGGACTCGCTTGGGCCAGACTCACATTGGCCTTTCGATTTCAGGCAATTCTGGAGGGCTTTGACCCTTTCGGTTCCTGGAGGCTCCTTCTTGTTTGTTCCTCAAAAGGCCTGCAAAACAGTTGGGGGGCAGAGGTTAACATAGCGAGACCGGCAAGATGTGTGCAAAATGGAGGCTAGCTGCGCCAAAGTTGCCCTTTTGAATCCACTCCCGGCAAAGATTTGCTGCCGTGAGCTGGGACTCCCTCCAAATCGTCGTGCATGTTTGAATGTTCCCAACACGGGATAACTTGTCCAAGATTGGGATTATGATTGAGGTATCTCCTACCACGTAGATTGATCCTGCAGACTTGCGTGGTCGCTCTTCACTCTTTGTACTGCGTTTACTTCCTACAACCTGGGATAAATCCTCAAATGAGGGAAGCCTTCTCTCATCTCAGATGTTTTTTTGGTGTGTGTGTGTGTGTGGTATGTGTTTTTTTTCTTCGGCAGGCCGCCTTCCCTCTCAAGTTCCTCCACGTGCCCAAGAGCGGCACTTCCTTCTACAACCTCCTGGTGCACACCGACGGCGTGTGCCCGGAGTTTCCCAAGGAGTTGAACGTAGATGAAGACAGCCTGGGCACTCACCCGGAAGGTGTCATGCTGCGCCTTGAGCGCATGAAGAGCGTCCCCCAGCTAGGTTCCCTTTTCTCCTTTTTTGGTTGAGAGGGTTCCCCTACTAAAATAGACTACAGAAAAAAAAGGAAGAAAAACATCGGGCACCAACTTCTTACAACCTCTCAAATCTGGAGGACCTAGGCATGAAGAGCCCCAATTGGTTCCAAGAAATTGCAGAGAAAAGACGCACTCCCTGAGTTCCGTTTCGGACTTTCGTTCACTTCTTGGGATACCTTTTTGGTGGCATTCCCAAAAAGTTGGGACATTTGTTTGGCCAATCCTCTCAGGAAGTGAGACTCTCTCTCTCTAGAGACTCTAGGCGCCGTGCTATTTTCTGCAAGTTGTCATCCATTTGCCTAAGAACATTTTCTATTTTCCCTGGCTGGTTTTAAAGGGAACATCTATCACTATTGGACATGATTTGTTTTTTTTGAGGGGGCTTAAGCAAATGGAAGTTGTAGGATAAACCTTGGAGAGAGTTAGCCTCTCAGGCGCATGTGCAAAAAGCTGTGCCATCCCGACTTGCTGAGCTGCAACGAGCGCCCACATGAGGGGCTGCGTGGATGCATTGCTCGACCTCCAGTGTCAAAGGCTTTTGTTCATGTTGTCATGGTTGTTGTTGGGAAACATTTTGCATGTTTGCTTATTGTGGTTTGGTGGGAAATCCCCACTTAAATGCCAAAACATATTTGTTTGCTCCCCTTCCAACGTCAACCAAGTTGTTTTATATCGCTTCATGTTTAGTTCCGCGTGTGTCCAAACATAGGGTTCGGCGATTGTTTGCAATCTAAGCCAAAAGACTCAACCCAAGTCTCAAGGCGGTTTTAGTTTAAGGAATGGAAGTACTGAGGAAGGAATGGAAGTACTCAGGATCACTCAAGAATGGAAGTGTAAACCACCAATCAGTGGTGGTTCTCAGTTGTTCAGTGGCACCATTTAGTTTCCCCTTCTTTTTGGTGGCTGCCCCACTAAAAATGGAATCTTCCCCAAAAGAGTTCCCTTTTTTTCCAGGGTCACTGAACAACTGAGGCTTTGAACCTGAATTTGACCCCCCCCCAATTGGTTGAAGCAGAATGGGAACGCCTACCCCCCTACTCCAAATACCCGGCCTTTTTTAGGGTATCATGTCGACCCTCTACTAAAAAGGGAGGCATTTACCATGAAAAACCACGTTTTCCAAAAAAATACCCCGAAAAAACTGTTTTCTGAGTAGGGGGTAAGCTCTGAACCATTCCAAGCCACACAAGTGGCTGCCGAAGTCGCTATGCGCCGGTGAGCGCCAGGCTGGGAGGTGAGAACTGGACGCGCTACGAGGGCCACGTGGTGTCCATGTTCCGAAATCCGGTGCAGCGGATTTGCTCCTCTGCTGCTATTGATGGGTTGGATCTTTAGACTTTCACTTTTTGGTTGAAATCAAGTTAACCCCACAAAAGAAACTCAGTTGTTCAGTGGCTCCCTTTTTCCCTTTTTTTTGGTGGCTGCCCCACTAAAATGGTCTTCCCAAAAAAAGGTTCCCTTTTTTTTCCAGGGTCACTGAACAACTGAGGAAAAAAGGCACTTCAAGGCCACAATCAAGTTTCAGTTCTCCGAATTAAACCTACAAAAAGTGAGACACTTTTTGCAGAGGGGTCGTTGCAGCAAGGCTCGGCCTACTACGACCCGATGTTCGACGCCCTCGGGGACAGCTTGAAATTCCCGGGCACTGTGTCCCACTTGCGAGCCCTTGACGAAAACGGGCAGCCGGTGCCGCACAGGACTGCAACGGATCGCCAGTTGCGATCGCCTTTTTCCATGCACTTTACAATGGTTGTTATTGGGAAGCATTTTACATTTTTGCTTATTGTGGTTTAGTGGGAAAACCCCACTTAACTGCTAGAATTCAAATTTTTGCTCCCCCTCCAACGTCAACCAAGTTTACCCCAAACACCAGCAACAGTGAGTTAGAAACACGATCGCCACTTGGCTAATTAGGGGGTATTCAAATCGCTGGCTCGAGCATGTGCGTATGCCTCAGCCGTAGCAAAACCTAGGAACTTCAAGACTTGCTGGTGCTTCTTGCTGGTGCTCAGCAGGAAATGAGGGAATGACCCTGATAAACCATCCCTTGTGGTTTCCTTAAAGGGAATCCCTGGGTGCATTCTCACATTCCCTACTGAGCACCAGCAAGAAGATGCTTAGCCACTTCTGAAAGCCATCTCTGGCCAAGCGTGCTTTGTTGTTTTGGCGGCTGCAACCCAGAAACGACAAACTGCCGGGTTTCTAGATTTGCCCCGATATTTGTGGTTGGTTTGGTGGCTGCCGGGTAGTATAGCGATAAGGTGGTCCTGGCCCCGGTT